CCCCCTTGGTGGCATAAGAAAGTTCTTCTTATCATCCAAAAACAATGAGCTGTTAAAGACAATTAGGTCTCGCATCCAGGATAAGATTCCTTCTCTCAGTATCTCGTTCTCCAGTAATTCCTGTTTGGAAATCGCGGATGCGGATGTCTCAAAGTTTACCGGATTGCAGTCTCTCATGCCCCATTTACAGGCCTGCGCTAAAGCGAAACAGAGTGCGCGAGAGGCCAACGGCAAGATCGAGAGCGAAAGCGAGGTACCTTGGACGGTAGAATCGACATGTATTGCCTTCGGCGATAATGAAAATGACGTGCGAATGTTAGTCAAGGCTGCCAGAGGGTGCCTAATGGGCAACAGCACAGAGGAACTAAAGAAGACTCTAAAAAATGACGTTGTGGTTGTTGGCACCAATTCCGAGGATGGTGTTGCCCACGAAATCAAGAAAGCATTTAAACTTTGAGTAGCTCGATAAAAATTATTATTTATAACATCTTCATTTGTTTTCTTTTATAGGAGGCTTGAGTGAGTAATCTATTTTCTCCTATGCACGACCATTTTCTCAGTCTACATAACGTCTAGACCTTTTCAATTCTAATTATATATCCAGAAAAGAATATAGATTAGACTCAGCAGATCCGTGACGAAAAGGTTACCTCTGTGATAAATTTTCATTAGTTTCTAAAGCAATTATAATGCTGCTTTTTTTCGTTAAATGTCTCCGTTTTTCTTCTCAGAAACATTTACAAAAATTATACCTCAAAGAGGAGGGAAAAATGAAAAATTTTCAATACATAAATCTTAGTAACTAATTCTGGAGCCAAAAAGTTCGTTGTTAATTGACATTTGAAATTTATTGTTTTTTTATTTCAACTCATATTCTTTTTAGGTATCGGTATTATAGTTGCGCGCATAAAACTTATTTAATGAATCACAAGATATTGAATTTCACCAATATTCTGTGTATTTAGAACCTTTGGTATCTTTGTATCTTTTGAAAAAAAGATAAAAATATCGACTATTAGTCTTTATCTATTTGATTTTTACTAGATAGGAATTTTAATAAGCTTTTAAACGTGTTATTCAATAATATTAAAGGGTGGGTTAATATACTTGAGTTTTTTATTAAAAAAACATTAATAAGCGCATAAACTAATTTACATTATCCTTTCAATGTGCTACAAAAAGTTAACTACTAATTCCACACCACTTAGCTTGGACGTCAATGAATATGTGAAATATTCACACGTGCCATCCCATTTTACATGTTCGCATCAAAAGAGTTCTCTTCGCTCCTATAGACATTCCCCTTATGACATTGGACTCTTAATATCATCGGAAAATGATGTTGAGCAGTCATCTGGGGAGTTGGGTGTGACAGAGCTTTCTAAAGATTCTCTAAAGCCGAATCCTGAGGCCTTACTGAATGGGATGGAAACGAACAATTCCTATGATAACAACCGCGCCCGTCGCGGCGGCTTTATCCCGGCCGATATGTACCGAAAGAATATTTGTCGTCATTTTATCGTTGGGACGTGCAACCGTGGGAGCTGCTGTCGATTCTACCATCCCGGGATGATTCACCGTGTCGTGACGCCGCTCCACCTGCGAACGCAGGCGCAGCAGTCCATCACGCCTCTTATGGACATCGCTCTTCAGCAGCGGCAGATCAACCAGGCAGCTCAGCCCTCTCCGCCGCTATGTGAGGACCCCCCGGCCCTATTCGATAATTACGAAGCGCAGGAGAGCGGTGGATTGTCGTCGGCCCCCACGTCGGGGCCGCCCAGCGGGGCCCTCAGCAATCCCACGCCCGAAAATAGGGGTTCCTTCGCGGTGGCGAGGACCCCCCCCATCCCGGACGGGGAGCTTTCCATCTCCTGTGCGATGTGGGCGAACTGTGCCTCCTTGGTGAATCTCAAACCGCCGGAGAGGGTCGAGGGGCTCTTCCATTCGGCCCAAACCGTCGCGGCGCGGGAACGTCCCTGCCAAGCCCCTAATTCCCTGCGGTACCCACCCCAAGCGGACGTCGTCGCGGGGGATCGCGGTAAGCAGGAGTCGGGGGCCCTTTCCATTCCCTCCATCTTTGTTTTGCAGGAGGTCGACAGCCTACCGGGATTATCGCCTTGTCAACGGCAGCGCGAAAAGCTCTGTGGGTGAGACTTGGGCACCCTACCGTGGGGAATTTCGCTTGTGGCTTGGAAATTGATGTGAGATAGTCCCGTAAGGGATGCGTTTGCCCTCGATTGTCATGCAAACGAGGCGCTCGATATCTTAGATACCCTAGGAGGTGATATGACGACGGGTACCAGGAAGAACAAGGTAGTTGGTGAATTCCTATGGCCTTTATTATCTATGCATTTTCTTTTTTTTGCTGTTATTGTTATCGCTATACGGATTCTATGTTAGAATACTGTGAACTTTTTGTAATTTTAAAAATTCCGCGTCTATTATCCAATTTTAACATTTGGAGCTCGTCTATAGACTAAATATTACTTTCACTCCAGTTTATATTTATTTGAATACGATACCAGTGAAGTTTACTTATGCTTAAAGTCTATAAATATGATTGATTGATTTTTCACCCAAACTACTATCGTAGTTATCGTGGTCCCTTGGAGTTTGAGCTTTTCCAAATTTATACTGATAAACCGGAATACTAGAAATAACAATCAAAGGAATATGAAACTAAAGATGATGCAACGCCGTTTGACTTTATTGTTGTCTTTACTTCATGCGCACCTTTTTTGGTTAACGTTTTTGCACAGCTTGACCAAAAACAATTCCTCTTTTTTATCTTTACTTTTTATATATATATTGTTGAAAATTCTTGATAGGTTATGATTGACAGATTTCTTTGTAGCAATAAATATTCTGTTACTGTTACCAAGGTTCGCCTAATTCACATCCAGACAGTTCTGCTAAAGCGGTTTCACTGTTATTCAAAAACTAAAATCGGTTAAGTATTTTCCCATAGAAATTATCAAATAAAGGTTCTATTTGTGTAGGATTAACGTTTATCTTCAAAGAATTCTGCATATTTACCTTCCTTTACCAGTCGAAAGTAATTATTTTTTTCTTAGCCACTACCTAGCATTGACAAGCGCAATTCAGGTTTGAAGAGTCAAATACCCTTGAGAGGAACTGAAAGGAATAGGGGGCTAATTTGCCAATTCGGTGCTTTAAATGTTTTCAAGAAACACGCTGTTTTCTCCAATAAAGGATGTCATGAAGCAGGGGTCCTCGACAACACCGGCTCTTTCACCGGTCGTAACTCGATCTTTATACCGCAGCCTGTTCCGTGAGGTGTCCAGACTAGATACCGATCCTTTGGCAAAGATTCTTTTCCCATGCACGCCGGATCTTCAGGAGTGGATCGGCATGTCACGAATGCTATATGTCCCAAACAGTAAAACATACATAGAGGCGCTTCGATACGTATTTCGGGATTCAAGCCGAGCCCCGAATATCAGTCTGGCTTTTAACACTCTAAACCGACTACGTGTCCACCACGAGAACGTGAAGAACAAACTACCGCTTATCTTGAAGGACAGGAAAGTTGTGCTCGAATCGCTTGCGCAAGAAGCCCCCAAACAAAATAAATTGTTTAGAGCTGAGGCGCTGATAAAAAAGGATGAAGTCGGCAGTGTGGCATGTTATGTTCCCGCACGGCCCAACGTTCCAGGGCGTGTCGTACTGCGGACGCAACCGGATGTGGAGCTCAAAGAGGGCACCGTACTAGTAGCTCATCCGTTGTCCTCAACTCACATAGACCGACGCGTGTTGATGATCACAGAACGAACGCCGTTTATTACCAGCGGTGTGGTGCTCGACCTACAGTACTGCTTTCCAATATCAAAAGGGAACCCAATGTTCCCGGAAGTTTTCTGGGGGCATGACGTATACGATGGCGGATTTAATCAGATCGGATTCACAATGCCACCGACTGCACAAATTGTGTTTTTACACACACTAGAGCCACCAAAGGAACCATCAGAGGAAACCGCTTCATCCCGTGGCGGTTGGCTTTCGTGGCGTCAGTCACCTGCACCTTCAGGGAAGCATCTTACGTTGAAGCGGCAGCATGAAGTGTTCTGTCGCCCCCTCATTCAAGGCGGTGTCCTTGACAATGGTGAAAAGGAACCTACTTTATACATCTCAAAGGCTGAGGCACTGCCCTACCTGGCAGAAATCGCCACTGGGCAGCCGCGCACAGCCCTACGCATTTACTGGGGTAATATGCGCTGGCCCACAGGGCAGGTTGAGGCAGAAGTCAGCAATGGGCACTGGATACCGGTAAAGGTATCGCCGTCGTTCTTTCGTTCCTATGAACTTTCGACAAACAATGCACCACCGGAACGCCTTCCAAGTGTAGACGAGTTGCGAGAGGCAGCGCGCCTGCGAGAGAAACGCTATGGTGTTAATATCACCATCCCACAGGTGTTTCCTGCGGAACACGTTGTGCGGCAGCGAGAGCTTCTGTGGGACGAAATAATGTATGCACTAGGCGAGGAGTATATGGCACTGGTTGGCATATTGAATCCATTTGTGATGGGCACTGCAAGCCGAGGCTTTCCGCGGATCGTGTCATCGTTGCCGACGAGTTCAGCACGACATTCGTCTGTGAGTACTCGTGAAGCTATCGAACCCACGTTCGATGATGCAGACGATGAGCTTAACCTAATCCCCTTTGCGCCAGAAGAGGAATCGAGTTTACACAGGATGACTCACACAGAAGATCCTAAAGTTTCATTTAGCGAAAAAAAAAAGACTAAAGAGGATTCTGACCCCTCCGATGACGATAAGGACAAGAGTAAAAATTGAGGTATTTAAGTTTTCTTTCGATTGCTAGTTTTATTTTCATTCTATATATTATTGATGGTGTCTATTTGCGTTCGTTTCTTGGCAATTAATGCATCATTTCTGCTTTTTAATGTATCCTGATTTTGAGCGTTAATTTTTTACCTCGGTGTTATTGCGATACTATGAAAAAGTAACATCATAAGGAATACTTTTATGATTAAGTTATTTTATATTTCGCAGTCTATTCTGGGGCCAAATTATCACTATTAATTGACTATTGTAATTGTTACTTTTTCAATTTATGCTTTTTTTTTCGTTATTCTTATCGTTGAAGCGAAAGATAATCTAAAAAGGCACTTATATATGTCGCATAACTCAATGGATCGCACCGCATTGGAAAAAGTCACGCTGACGTTTAACACCACCCGCTTTGGGGTAAAGTTGGCAGATGGTGTCTTTGAGGCCAACACTACAATTGGCGAAATTCATTCCCGGTTACGGAAAAAATTGCTGAAAGCTTTGACTGACGATATGGGTCATAATCGCCAGGGAAGCAGCGGTGGTGGGGATTTCTACGCGTCAACTACGATGACACACTTTTTCATTCGAAACGGCACGGAAGCTTTCATCCCTGCCCCTCATCAGACCCTGGAGGAGCTACTGAGAGTTTGCACTACGTCAAAGGATTCGCGCACGCTTGCAGCAACCATCGATGTGGAAGTGTTTTGTGGCTAAATATGAGATCTCCAACGGTATATATATATATATATATATTACCTATAGATATGAAACTAAGTCCATGAGACGCTACCGAACATATTATTTATTTCTTTGATGTTTCCTCTATAACCATTTTTCCACTTTCGTTATTGCTATGATATTATTTAGCAAGTAAACAAGCACTCATTTCCACAAATGCTGCGGCTGAGTGTGCGTTTAATGAACGACATGGGCACCCCTGCCACTAATCTTTTATCAATGCGTCGTGCCCCGTCGTTTCTACATCCCCCAGCTGAAAGTGTTATCGGTAAGAACCTTAAGGACATCCCTGAGAACTGGGTTACCGCGTACGTTACACCAGAGGTAATCACGAGGGAAGAGGAGCAAGCTCTCCTGAGATTGGCGGATCCGTGGTTTGCACGGTTGGAATACAACGATGCACATGCCGATGGGCTCATCCACCATTACATGGAGTTTTATCGGTCCTACAACAATTTGACCCAACAACTGCGTAGTGGATTTACTTCTTCTACAGTGCTGTCTACCTCAGGTCAAACGGAGGAGCACGTTGGCAGCGAAAATTGCACAAAACCAAACTTAGACACAAAGGATAAGCAACTTGTCTGTGGGGCGCTTGAGCGGGTTCGTGGGCTTGCAGAACACTATTTGTCTCATATTCCGATTGACGACCGAGTTCATTTTCTTCGATTGAAGGGAAGTGGATTCATTCGTGCACATGTTGATGAAAGCCGGAATTCGAGTGGGATTGTTGCTGGTCTGTGCCTCAATGCCGGGCGTGTGATGACGCTAACACACCCAAAGCATCCTGGTGAGGTTGTGGAGCTGCTGTTGGCGCCACGGTGCCTCTACACTTTAATAGGCCGAGCTCGCTACAATTGGGAGCACAGTGTCGATTGGGCACAGGATGACGAAGAGCACATTAAACGTATTAAAAAGAGCTTGGTAGTTGAGGGAACCTCAATTTATTTCGATGGAAAGGATACTGGCTTGACGCGACACACACGCACGGCCATCATATTCCGAGGCGTCTCACCAATGCAACTTTTTGCTTCGCGCATGCGACTGGAACCGTGTTAAGGGGTCTATTTTAAAAAGGTGAACGAGAGGAACTACTACTACAAAAAATAAATAATGAAATTAAAAAGGATAAGGAGATATTAGGCACTACCTTGAAACTTGTATTTAGAATAGCTGCATCTATTCATTTAGCCGTTGATGGTCTAAACTAGGGGTTTCTAAACTTCTACAGCACTCTTACATTGGCTTACCACACTGACATCCCCTCGTTTGTCCCTGACGCCAGCGAATCACTCATGAAGTCTTGGATTTCTCCCGGTCTTGGGGGAATCTGTTTAGGGCGGAACATACCCGCTTCACCTCGCCGAGCGCTCTGTACAGTGGAAAGGTTGGCGCGACGTAGAGTAGTAGCCCTGAACGGAGTGTCGGTGTCCCATAATCGGCGAACGAGTCCGATAATTGCAAAAATCACCAGAACGGTCAGATTCGGCAGTACCATAGTCATCGGGGTGGCAATTGACGACAAAATGACCTGAATCGACGGAGACGGGGTGGTGCAGAGGTTTCCATTTATGCTTTTGTAACCTTTCAAGCAATCGGAACAGGCTACTCCGTCCCAGTACCCGTGTTCGGGATCCCTATAGCATTTGCAAGGGCCTTGTATTGTGGAATCTACCTGTGTATTGCAGCATCCGTGTGAGCTACAATTCACACTCGGGTTGCAATTGATTGGCGGGCTATAGGTTCTTTTTATTGCTTTATTCTCCTTTACGATGCTGAACACGCGTCCATCACATGTATTACAAGTCATGTTATAATCATCACCTTTGCTAATACAGGTGTTCGAAAAACAGATGCTAGTGTCCATTTCGTTACATCCATGAGGGTTCACACCCGTCATACTAGTGCAGTAGTTGCCCTCTGGCATATCCTCAAAGACGCCAGACCAAACACACGTCGCTTTGGCGTTTAAGTTCCCAGCTTGACCAAGCAAAGTAATATCGTTCGGGACGCTAGCTTTTATGGAAACGTTTATGGAAGAAATGTTATTGCATAGGCATGTAATCTTATCAGGATCTGTACGTTTTGCTAATGTAACATTTCCAGTTTTTTGAAATGTCTTTTTGCACCAAGATTCGATCTCTGCATCCGTTTCATTGGGGCAAATCTCACTGTAACCCATCACTAACAAGTGATTATAAAATATACCCATAACCACAAAAAGCGCCACTATATGACATAGAAACCTTGCTTTTACTCTTATCATTTGACCTGTAGTATCATCCGAATCGGACCGTAAAAATGATAATAATCAAAAAATATATAATTGGAGTAATAGCGACAAAATTCTATATTTTGCATCATGAGGAAAAATGAAGGGAGAATGTATCGAGCGTGATTGACATTGGAGTCTTTAGGTAAAGAGTGCCACCAGCTGAAAAGAGCATTAGTAATATATATATATTTATATATATAAAGTAGTCCTTTTTCCCTTCTTCCGTTTGTTTTCTTGGATTAGGCAATGAATTTCCACCTTTCAAGCACCAAAATTGTCCTTTGGTTTAAAGGGAAAAAACAGGCAAACTGTAGCTTGCAGAATAAAAAAACTCAAAATTCATACTCTCGAATGTCAAAGTTACCGAAAAAGCGCTCTTAGCTTTTTAGTGTGTGCACACAATCGTAAAAGCAACGATAACGCACACGCAGATATCAAGAAGGATAATTGCGATGTCTTTACATGCCGACAATCCCTTTATTTTTATGCGCATTACAGAAAGTATTCTGGTGGTGGATGTTTAGCAAGATGACCCCTAACATCGGCTGGCGCCGCACCAAAGTATACAACATTTCTTTCTGTCTTTGAGTTTGTACCTATTTCCAGTATTGAGGCGACATTACCGCATCGATAGCAATAGTTCGGTGCAGACCACACAGTGCAACAGCTGTTATCAAACATTGTTTTATAGCCTTCTAAAACAAGTTGGTGGGCACGTGCGATAAGACTAAGGCCGTTTCTACTATTAAACTGCCTGACAACATCGGCACCAAAAATATAGCCTGCGCCACGGGGGCTCACACCCCATGTATCAATATCCTCAGGATCTGACCACAGCAAGTCGCTCATAGGGCCGTCATGGGGTACCTCCTGCTTCCTGTCTAGAACATACACCTCATCGATGGTTTGGATGACCGGACTGAGACCACCGTGAACACAGAAAATGTCTTGTTCAATTACCGTTGCGAGTGGCATGTAGTCGAAAAGTTCTGTACACAGGCGCCATACGTTTGCGCTGCCATATTTGCGGTAGCACTCATCGTAAAAGCCGTAGACTTGCGTAATCTGACGAGACTCATGGTTACCTCGCAGGAGAGTAATTCGGTCAGGGTATCGAGCTTTCAACAATAATAACAACAACAATGTTTCTATGCTGTGGTAACCACGATCAACATAGTCACCCAAAAACACATAACTAGTCTCCGGCACACGACCACCCTTGCCGAAGAGCTCTAAAAGATCAAAAAATTGTCCATGGATGTCCCCGCAAAGGGTTACCGGAGCGTAAATAGTCTCGACATTGCCTTCCTCTAGCATAAGGTCCTTGCAGCGTTCACACAGCTGGGCCACTTCCTCTTCAGTAATGAGCTTTCCATCATAAAGGGTTTCTAACTGGCGGTTCAAATCTGACATGATTCCAGGTAAATAACAGCGATGATCAAGAACCTCAGGGTCGAATCCGAAAACGGTTTATTAGTGAATACGCTCTGGTGTCTGCCTTTCTGTTTCCTGATTAAAAGGCTCGGTTCTTTTCTGATACAAGCTGTATTTAAATGACTATTCTAATGTAAAGTGGTGTCGTCGTTTAACTGCTCGTTAACTATTTAAAATTTCTAGTGTTGAAAAAAAGTAACAAGGTGTGGATTAGAATAGAAAAAGATGTTGATATTTTGTTTGCGCTCATTTTTGTCGCTTTGTCTTGCTGACAGTCCATACTTGCAACACCCGAGGGTATGATTTTCACGTCTATCCACCGTTGCTGGCATTTTTTGCTAATATTACAATACGTGGATGGAAGGCATACACATACGCATAAACCCACTAATGAAAACGCCTAGCAGTGGATCCGTTCACTAACCCTCGAAAGTTTAAAGCAAAAGTGTCACGTGGTACATACTAACACGCCAGGTCTTTTAAAATGGACCGATAATCCATGCACAGGTGTGATAAACATACTACAGAGAGGGGCAGATTTTCAGGTGATCATATTGAGTTCTTTGGGATAAACTTGATGGATGAATTGTTTACGCAATGCCGCTCATTTGGCAAGGGGTTCTTGAACCCCTCATGGCGAAAGACATGGCCTAAATGGCCGTTACATGCGTTGCAGATAATTTCCGTCCGTCTCCCGTCCGCGTCGGGCTCCTCGCGCACTGCTTTCGGCAAGCAGTCCCAAAACCCAGGCCAGCCGCAGCCGCAGGCAAACTTCATGGTTGACGTGTAGAGTGGGGTGTCACAACCCGCACACACATAAATGCCGTCCCCGAAAAAGTCATCGTAGGAGCCTCCCCTAGGGTCTGTAGACTTCTGTCGCAACACACGGTACTGTGTGGTGTTGAGCTTCGCTCGCCAGGCCAGGTCTCCTATATCCTTGGAACCGTCCTTTTCGTTGGGCTGTGCACAGTGTGTGCTGCCCGCGCCGTTCGAGTTCATAGAGCTAATTAAACGAGACGAGCTTGATGCCGCACCTGAAAAGACACCTACTCTTGGGTAAAGTATACGCTCCACATAACGTATAAATGTGGCTCGGAGGACGCCACAACGCATAAAATATTAGTTATTAGTTAAGTGTCTCGACGAAACGACAAATACACAGTTACCGAATAAAGGGGAAAACGTAGAACTCAATCACTTCACGATACTTCTTCTCTTGGCACAATTGATAGGTTAGTTTATGTCTTGAAAAAAAAAGTATATTTTAACAGCTAACAACTAAAAGAAAGAAAGGTAAAATAATGAAATGGAAAAACTATTACGTAAGGACAAGTTTCACTTTTAATAAAAAGCGATTTAAATAAACGCAATAGAAGCAAATAAAAAGGTAGCAAAAATTTGGGATGCTTCAAAAGAAAGACGATTTGTTGTGTTTTAATAAAAAAGCATTGCAAGTCCCTTCCGTAGTTACCAACTTACACATCGCACCGTAAAAAATCTAGTCAAGGCTCAAGCTAGGGAAAGAATTACTGTATTGGAATCTATTATGAAAATTACGTGTTAAATTTTTCTATGATTATTAGTGTCTATCGTCTACGCTTCTTTAATTTTTTCAGTGGCAATGGTGACTCCTTCTTTTCCCCATCGTTGTCAACTACTTCGTCCTTGTACGTCGTTGTTTCAGCATCCCAGGAGTCATGTTCCACCACTCTTAGCGCCAATTTCTTTGAACCGCCACCTTTTGCAAGTGCCTTCTTCTCTATATACTCCTCCCTCGGTGGCGTTATTGCGCGAGCTTTCTTGCCCTTCGGCCGTGATGATTCCCGCTTTAATGTTTCCATTGTTACTTCTTCAGTCTCAGTTTCCTCGTCCTCCTCATCTCCATTGCTCTCTTCGTAATCAACCTGATCTTCCTCCTCGTCTTCTTCCTCTTCCTCTTCCTCCTCCTCTTCCTCCGCCTCCTCTTCTTCCTCCTCCTCTTCTTCCTCCTCCTCTTCTTCTTCTTCGTCTGCCGTGGGAGCGGGTGGTGGAGTAGCCCGCACTGTCCTTTTGTCTCGATGCGGAATTCCCTTGCCGGTTGCTATGGGCGCAGCTTTCTTGATCCGCTTCAAATGTACGGACGCCGACGTGGCAGGTGCAGAGGAGGGTGTGTTGCGTACGACAGATCGACCGGTCTTTTTCTCTAAGTGACTACTTTTGAAGTGCTTTCGCAACGTTCTTGCTGGCATCGATGCTTCCTCAACCTCATCGGCCTCAACGTCAGCAGCACAGTCATCGTCTTCAGCTTGCTCCGAGTCTTCGATCTCAGAGCGTGCGGTAGGCTTCGCAGTTGTAGTAGGTTTGTTCTTGATGTTCTTAAGTCCTGCAGGGGCCTGATTCTTTTGCACAAGTTTCTCAGGCGGCGACACTCGTGAGCCCTCGCCATACTTGCGCCGAGGGTACAATTCTTGGAGTTTTTTTTCGTGCTTTGAAGAGCGCCACCATGCACCTGTGTCCCCTGCCGTGCGCGCAAGCAATGCACCAGTACTATTGTCCGTGGCCCTCTTTAAAGGAGACGCTAGTGGTTTTCGCTCAACTTTGGCCTCGTGCTCTTGTTCTTCCTCTTCCTCCTCTTCAGTAGAATCCCCTTCCTCATCGACTTCTTCCTCAAGATTTGCATTATTTTTACTTTCCTTGGAGACCTCATTTTTTTTTTCACTAGTGGCGTCAGTGTCTGGCTTTTCTTTAGGCTCTGCAGCAGTGCTGGATGGTGATGCCGTAGAAGCATTCGCAGGCAGTGGCACCACCGCGTGTCCAGGTCTATCGGGCTCTGACATGAGCAACTTTGTGAAATCACTTCGACCTCCGCGTTTGGCTAAGATAAATGCTTCACCGACTGCCAAGCCGTCCTCTTGTGCTCCGGGCAGCCCCTTGAGCATGTCATAGAGAGTCAACCCTGCCACCATTGCGCCTGTCAGCGCCTCCATCTCAACACCCGTTTTAGCTTCTTCTGTGGCCACGGTGCAGAAGCAATACAAGACGCTACATTCCTGTTTGCCAGGTTGCGGAGACGGCTGCGGCGCGGCTCGCTTGCGCAGCACCACACGATGAGGCAAGGCAGTGTAATTCAAGCCGCCCCCGACCACACGTCGCCGAAAAGTAAAGCTGCACTTCTGGATGGGGATCGGGTGACAAAAGGGGATGAGGGTGCTGGCTTGTTTCACTGCGTTGGTGCCTGCAATCACAGCTGTGGCGAACAAGGGGCCCTTCCGGCTGGTGTAGTACTCCTCCATGTACTGGACCTGGCCTAACCCAGGCCTGCCGTCCCCGGGCGGGCGCCGTACCGCCGGGGTCAGGGTCTGCTTCATCCCCTCTAAATACATATTCGCGACGGGGGGCACCACCACCGTGGAGACGGCGGTAGCGAGCCGATACGGCAGCGGCTTCGATACGTTTACCTCACAACTCTGTGGAGCTCGAGTGAAAACCTCTTCACTTTTGACCAGCACTGCGCTCTCCGGCGGAGGAGGAGTACCTCTGTTGTTGTTGATCTGCGTGATCTCCGCGTTACGTGGTGCCGCAGTGTGCCTATTTGACAGGCTCCCGCTTCGACGCCCCAGGCGTCGTACAATTTTGCTTCTTTGCGGAGCTGGCGGGGGCTTCCTTTTAGCTAACAAAACCAGCGCCATGTGAAACATTGTCAGTAATGATGGATCTACACACAAAATATTAATCTATAAATATATATGGCTTCCCCGGGAATGAAAATCCCCTGTAAGGAAGAAGAGCAACGCACACCTACCTCGCTTGTTAACCATCGCAAGATATATAAATAACGATTGAGAAAGTAAACCGATTCATTCAAGATAAAAAAAGGGAGTTGAAATTAGTTATTCTGTGAATTCGCCAAACGCTTGTTTCCCCACACCGGATCCCGTTAATGAATGTGTTTCTAGGTGTCATCTGGAGCAATCTGCACAACATTCATCACGCCCCTAATACATATTATAGCATAAGGTAGCACTTCTGATCTCTTTATTTCCTTCCACAACACGTTCTCTATGTAATTCTAAAGATTGTAAACGCTGTCAAACGCATTTGTAAATAACTCAAGGGCCTCCTTGCAAACAAAAGGTGGCCAAACATTCTGTACCCTACTTTCAACGTTACTCTTTTTGTTTGGTGAAGTCTTTGTCGACAGACTAAACGAATTTGGTTGTTGTTGGCAGAGCTCCAAAATAGGGTTGACATCCTCCAACTCGTCGCTACTGCTGTCAGCTTTGCTGTCTTCGGCGTAAGCACGCTGCCACAGCTGGTGAATCACATCCGCAGATTGACAAAGGTGCGTTGATTCATTCGCCCACTCAAAGCGATTAGTTGCGCAGCATCCCAAGACTTGTGACTGTGGGATGTTCTCAGACGCTGCGTCACTTCGCCGCGAAGCGGAAGCAGGCAAAGAGCCCATCAAATACTTTGGAGCCATGGTGTAGGCCCCGGTTTTGTTGAGTTGTAGTGACGCTTCAGAGGGATGTATTCGGCACCTAAATTTTCCTTGATCAAACCCGATTTGGAATGAGGGTGGTGGAGAAGGGGTGCCTCGGCGAACTGACACTGAACATCCCTCCACATGGGGTGTCACGCTTGCTCCTATCTCCTCTTCTCGAGCATCGGGACTCAGTAATATTGTCACTCGCATATCGGCCTCCTGGTCTTCACTTTGATGCAGTTCTGTTTTGTGGCGCTTCAATGGGGGTAGTGGCTCTGCCCCCTTGTGAAGACCCCCGAATTCGGAACCTTTAAGACAGGGCAGCAGAGCGCCCTGCTCAGAATCTGCCGGGGTAGGCGTAGGACTGCGGAGTACATTCGTGAGGTTGGCACCAAATGCACGGCCGCATTGTGGCGGAATAGATGATGATCTCGACATGCCCCTGAGCAATATATTCTTCTATAAAAGTTGTCAAACTAAGTGAAAACAAAGTGTATAAAGAAAACAACCTACACTTCTCTCCTCGTTCTGTAATGAATGTGTCTTTTTATTGAAGGGTTGTTTATATGAAACTTCCCTACATGGGGAAACCGCAAAAACCTTAAGTCACGGAAAAATAAGGTGAACCAGTGCGCTCTCACACAATTTAACCCTTTACGCTTTGTGGCTATATTGGTTGGTCTTTTTCCGTCTTTCTGAACAAGAAAAAAAATACATCTAAAAAATATCATCAAAGAAAAAGGTATGAGCACGAAATTATTTAAACATCAATAAGCTTTGAGTTTCTAATGAAAAATATTTCATTCATCGATGTCGATACATAATCGATCCCTATTTTATAAACTATCGATTCACTAAATATTACCTCAAAAAAAACACTAGCTCAGTCAATGACACATGTAAATACCAGTGATTTATTTTCCTATTCCAGGGAGCTTGGACATGCCTGAACACACACATGGTGGGTAGTCATATGAAAATCCACCCACTTAAAAAGTCTTTCCCTAGATGTATTCTCCTCCCTCAGACGTTGCCCTTCAAATTTACAATACTGTAGTATTTATTATACTCAGGCAAACCAAACCCATTTAGGGGCAGAAGACCACGCACCTTCGCAACACAATTTTATGGTGAATCTATCCAACAAACCGGTAATGTAAAAAGCAAGGAATCTATTAGTGTAATAAACTTGTATTCCTCATACTTTGCGCTACAAAACAGGCATACATCAAGAAAATAAAATAAAACAACAACAAAAAAAGGCTAAACAATGCCACATATGACCCTTATCATTTACCTTTTGTGGGCCTAAGCCAAAGCCGCACTTCATCTTATGCAAGAAGGGCATCGGTAAAGTATTGCCGCAGCTCCTCATCACCACCGCGGAGCGCGAGCTGGAGCGCGATCTTCATTTCAGAGGTTACGAAAACCCGCATGCGCACGAGTAGTAACGTCCGCTGTTCGTCCACAACCCGACCTGCCATGAGCATAATATGGAAGTTGCTCTTAATCCGCTCCGGCACCTCACCTATGAGGTGCATGCCGTAAAATTCTGCAAACATTTGCGCAGCTTCGGAAAGGTTTTGCGCGCTGGGAATGGCGTACGTCTGTGCCGTCTCATTGCCCTCCTCGCGTTTCCATGCATCCTCCATATCGTTTTCCGAGTTTATCTCCGTCGCGGGCAGGACGAAATCCTTCAAGAGAACATCAAAGCCCTCGATGTTGTATTCATCCGGGCTGGTGTCGTCATCCACGGAGTCTTCCACTATCGCGAATTGCAACACACAGTCCACATGACCACTGGGGAAGTTCTGTGGGGCGTACTCCAGGACGATGTAGCTGTACCGCGTCTCCCCGGGCCTTATCTCCTCCACCGGGATGGAGTAGAGCTGCTCGGCCTCCTCGAGATCGGCGGTGTCCGCGCAGACGTTCACCTTGGTGAAGGACATTTCCTCCATGGTGTTCGCAATCGCGAACTGAAGCACCAGGTGCCCCGTGTACACGTGCTTCATCGCCGTCACGACGTACTCGTTGTCGGGGTCTGTGAGGGTGACCGGCTCCGTGCTCTGGACGGGCTCCCCGAGGTCTCGGAGCCGTTTGACCCGCCGAAGCTCATCACGGCCCCGGACAATGGCAGCCAGGGTGCACCCCGTGGAGGCATCGCCGTGGGGGGCCCCTTTCGTGTCCTCCGGGGGTACCCCTGACGCGGCGTCGGCCATCAGCATCGGGCCGCTCAACCCCAAGGACTTCTCACCCCCCTTCTCGTTCGACGGCTGCATGGCGAGCCCGTTCAACAGCTGCCGATCCCTTCCACTCGCCGCGACCGCGTTGGCGATGTCGGTGATGCAGGTATTAATAATCGCCGCGTCGTTCAGGGTAAAGAGTTTGCTGTAGAGCATCGCACGGTCGCGCACTTCGTCATCGGAGTCGTCTGACAGCTTTCGAAGCTGGGCGAGGATGGAGGACCGCAGGGATGGGACACAGGCACCGATCTTTGCTAGTGTGCTTACCGCCACAATTCGGATATCGGGGGCATCAAGGGTGATGTGATTGCAAATGTACCTCACGAACTTGCTGGGATTCTTTGAACTCGGGATCTCGTTCCCCAGGTAGGTCAAGACGCGCTTCGTGAAGTTGGCGTACTCACAGTCATCAATAAACTCGACTAAGTGCTTCATCACAGGGTCCTTCGCTTCAGGGTTGACCATTGCAACTTCTATCATGCTATTGAGGACTTTATCCTTCAGTTCCTTGCTGCCATCACTGACCAAGAATTTTAAGAGGAAGGACAGAAACAACATGTACTTGCTAGGATACTTCTTGTTAAGAATTCGCATGGCGTCGACAATGACAATCGCGAACTCATCCCCTAGTTCATTAATATAATCTTGCGGCGAGAGCTTTTCGACGAGGTGATCCACAGTTTCTTCGGTTCCCGTCTTGAGTAGCGAAGTGATAGCTAAAGTGGCTATGATACGGTTGGGGTCCAGCATCAGGACCTCAATCTCACTGTTCATAGGTGTCACCACCTCAGGGAATCGTATGGCAATAGCGTTGAGTTGGCGTATAGCCGCAAAGCGCATAATAGGAATCTGTGAGCTGAGGTAGAGTTGTAGCACCATCACAACCGGCGCAAGGGACTTGCTTGTGAGATTGGATATGGAGCATATCGCCTTGGAGGCCTCGAAGACGAGCATGTCATTGCTGCTGCTCTGCAGAATACCCTTAAAAAAGTTGTAGATATCAGGGACGGCGTTGTCAAAGTCCTCGCTGGCGAGTTCGACGCACATCTTGATCACCGAGCAGATCGCGAACGGGGATTGGATCTGCCCGCTCTTGACTTGATCCACCAGACGCCCGACCGAGAGTTTGTCACCCCTGCGCAGCTTGTGCTGGAGCGCGATGCAGGGGTACTGCGCCTTCGTGCGGCCTTTCATCACCTCCATCAGCTGGGTGGCCCATTTCCTAGGCATTTCTGGATTGCAGCTTGAGATGTGGATGCCCGTCACGAGTGCCGCCATAACGACCACAGGGGCTTGTGAGGTGATGCATTCGAGAATGGTGCGCTCCATGCTGGGATACATATCGTGATCCATCACAGCGTACAAGGTGCGAAGGGCATTGCTCTTTGCGCCCCCGCTACTGTTCTTGACGTCAAGCATGATGGAATTTGAGGCGATATAACTCCGCTCCACGAGTGGGCTGAGCTCTTTCATCAACACGTAATGGAGACGGCGAAGTGTCGGGTGGTCAGACTGAAAGAGCCGTGTTGCAAGAAAAAAAAGGTCCGTTGCCTCGTCCTCGGTGAGTGTGGTTCCGGTATAAATCAAATACAACATCTGGGTCACCGCCTCCTCGCACGCCCCGATGTCTAGTGGCATTGCGTTGAACACGCGACAGAGCTGAAGTGTGGAAGTCTTGTCGATGCCCTCAAATGGGAGCACGGCCTTCTCGCTCTCATCATCATAGTTCATGTTTTCTATCATATGGCTGTCTACCTCGTTGATAATTTGCATCGTGGTTCGTGAAAATGTTTTCAATTTGAGTAGCAAGTTTTAAAATAAAAAAAAAAACCAGCTTCTAGTATAAATAACTTTGAAGTGATTATTGCTTTTTTTTATTCTATCTTCTACTTTCGTTATTTCAGTTGCAAAAATTTTTTAAAGTGGATTTATTAATATAGATATATTTTTGAAAAAGAAATACTAATAAATGAAAAAAAAACTCTAAATCCTGAAGCACTCGAAACGCCTCAATGAAGCTTAAGGGGGAGAAGCTAATACGCAAACCAACATAGCAATATGTCGAGCTAACTAAGACTCCGAATTATGATGAACTTCATTTTTTTGATAGTTTGCAGACTATAAAGCAACAGTTTGGTTGGTAATATACACATGTCTAAATATATCCAAATCACAAGTTTGGGCTCACAAACAACATAGAGGGGATTTTACATATTTGGGATTTAGTTTCTACTGCATTTTCAGGAATAAAAATACTAAAAAAGACCTCTTAACACAAACACAGACAAACACAGAATAAATGTTATAAGTCGATCGATACTGATAGTTTATTTCTAAACCGTGAAAGGTTAAAAAAATCATTTTCCATTTTTATACATCAACAGATCTCCCTCTACTTGTCGTGAATATTTAGCAGTGCCATACCTTTTTTTTGCATCTTACATCCATGTATGCTATTTCAGAATATGGTTTACATGTTATTTTTCACTGGAAAAAGACTTGTCCGCAATCAAAAATCGCAATAAATTAAATAAGCGACAAAAAAAACTAAGTTAAATAAGTTTGAACTTGTGATTCCTCTAATTTAGAGTAGAAAATAATTGAAATAAATAAATAAACCGTCACAAAAGCAAAATACTAATACAAATAAACAGGTTCTGATCCAAAGTACCTACTTGAGCACACACATATATATATGCATGTATGTTATAAAGATGCTTTTGAAGCTGAAGTATAATCATCGTCGATCATTTGATCACACTCTTTAGTGAAATAGTCGATACAACTGCGCAACCAGTATCCTCGCCATGTTTTTTGGATCATTATTGCCGCACGATGCTGCCTTGGGGATAGTATTTCTGAATAAGGTTCGTGTGTCTGATTGATTCTCGAAGCAGGGCGTGAGAATGCGGAAACCGAGGAATCCCTGTCCATATTCTTCACAGATTTGTGATCCATCGCAGAAGAAGGGGTGGAAAGTACAAATACGGTTCGCTGCGGGGTTTGGATAAGGTGTGCTTCGCTTAAACTCTGAGGAGATTGTGATGAAATGATAGGGAGTGCAGGCCGATAGCGACGGCGTGTTAAAAACCCACGCATCAAAGCCTGCAGCTTCACCACCGCGCATTGCACGAACTCGTTCTTCTGCTTATATTGATGATTCATGGAGATAAGCTGACGATGGCGAAGAACCTCTTGTCGACAACGGTACGAACGCCAGACGCTTTGGATCATAACCGCACAGTACTCAAAGACCTGCTGCCACTTTTCTTCTTCCTCGGCCGTCGCCATCTCGAGCGTCCTTTCCATTGTTAAGCGCTTTTGCACTAAGAGGGGTTGAAACTTTTGAGCGGCGCACCGTCTTAAGAGCCACCGCTTTACAGCGCCTTGAATGCATGTGGCGGCGGCGAGCACCTCCTCGTGATGGCGCTCCTGAGTGCGCTTTGCATCCCGCTGCTTGCGCATTCGGTCAAGCAAGGTCTTTCCCCGAGCCCGACACATACACTGAGCAAGGACACGATGAACGCAGAGAGCTCTGCTGTGCTGCTTTCGCATCCACTCCCGAGACTTCGCCCCTCGCAAGACGGCCATAATCTTAGATGAACTCCGCTCTAATCCTTCCACAAACTGAAATCGCCCAAGAGACTGAGCAAAGTTTGCTTCTGCAGCTTCAATACACTCTCGCACGGCTTTCTGCCGGCGGCCGACTTCCGTCTGAGCGTTCTCGATTAGTCGCCGTTCACGTATCCAGCGCTGAATGTATAAAACCTGGTTCGAAAATTCATATTCCTGCAGCCACCAGCGCTCCTCAGCGTCGGCCCGAAGAGCGGCCTGACGGGCCGAGACTTCCCACCGCGCGCAGTAGCATAACCAGGCGAGCTGAATGCAGATAATGCACCTCCGTAGCCTCAGCCACGCCCACCGCGCTCGCACCTGGCGCCATTTTGTCTGAATTCGAATCGCGGCGGCGGTGGCCTGCGCATAATATACGAGCATGTTCTCGCACTTTTGTCGGAACACCCATCCGGAGTAGACACCCTCAAGGTGGTGCTGGAGACACGCTAACTGCGCCGTCTTCGACGCGGCGTTCTCGAGCACATTCTCGACCCACGCGCGGTGGATCGTTTGGCGGATTTTATTCCGCCTTAAGACGCGCTCAAGGACGACCCCTGCCTCTGCCTGCTGACGCCAGCTTTCGACCGCGGCCGCGCGCCGGGCGAGCTCGCGAACCGCGAGGAGCCGACGCCACCACGACTGGAGTTGGCGGGCGGCCACGTAGCGGCCCCACCCCACCCGATCCTGCATCAACAACTGCATCGCCACGTCCTCCTCGCTGAGGGCGACGAGGTGGGAGTAGCGCCGGAGGTCTGCATCGAAGCCGCGCATCACGCGGCGCGAGGACCCCCGCCGCCCCCACCCCGCCCTCGGCGAGGGCGGCGTGAGCGCGCGCAGGGAGGCCTTTTTGAGGAGTTTGTACCGGTCGAAGACGCGG